CGATCAAAATGCACACGGAACCACCGGAGTGGCTAACCAAAATTTTTTCTTTTAAAATGACCATTTGTAACCCACTCATGCCAAATAAATCAACTACAATTTAAATAAAAAGTTTATTGGGAGCTCCCAAAATAATGTTTAAATCATACAACCCATAGTATAAAGATGAGTTACGACTCATATAAAAATATAGAAATCGGGGTTTACAAATATACATGCCCTCTAAAGATGAACTTGAGACGTACTCTGCACTAGTTGGGTCTGGATCACTATTGTCAAAAAGTCCTCGGACTGCTCCTCGACTAGCCTGCTAAGGGAACAAACTCCAAACGCTAAGCTAACTAACCCAGTGCCACACTAACAACTAAGTCATACTAAAAGTGTTCATGACATACTCAAGCTAGTTGCTTGAAAATTGCTTAGTGAGTATTATCGAATACTCCACTCTCTCTATGGTAGACATCATGGTGCGGCTGAGGGTTTGCATCGATGCTCATACACCCCTCTAGTCTACCCTGGATATGGCTCTCGAATTCTCTGTACCGAAACCATACCCATAAACTAACCCACCCTTTCTAAAGAATGTTAAGCCTCGGAAAACATAGTAGTCAGAAGAACCCGGTTCTACCTAAGGATATTCAGACTGAATCTATACTTTCATAATGCTAGAATTTTCTTAAGGAACTCGGGTGTGTTGGTTGTTTCTCGAGTATATCCAACTATTTTTGTTATCCTAATAAATCTTGTTTCTAAGTGTCAATAATCATTATCTCACTTGTAGTCTATTGATGATAAAAAAGTGTGGGGTACCCTCGTCTAATTCCATTAAAAACTGACATTTTTTCTCAAAACAGACTGAAAGTATCGATACTAACCCAAGAGTATCGATACTACTACAAAAGTTTCGATACTTTATATAAGTACTGATACTTTTAAACATTCTGTTTTGCCTAGTTTCGAAACTATGGCCCAAAGTTTTGTCTTGAAAGAGTATCAATACTTTTACCCATAAAATCACGAATTTCCCAAAACGAAGAACTAGTATCGATATTATCCCAATAGTATCGATACTTTACCTACATAAATCATATAACACATACTAAGATGCTATAATTCAATCCCAAAGACCTTAGTAAGGTCCCAAACATGATTAAAGTTTATTTGATCAACAAGGGTCATAATAGAGGCATTAAACACATTTATAACTCTAAAACAAGAATTTCACCATGAAAATGCTTATTATGCTCAACTCAACCATTTAAACTATTTTGAACTTCTAATGACTCACTAAGAGTATGAAGAGTTGTAAATGTGTTACCTTGCTTCTTGGATGGCTAGAACTTTCTTAACTCGCTCAAGATTCAACTTTTATTTTTTTAGCTCTTGAGCTTTCTCCTATCTCCTTCACTAACAAAATGAGAAAATGGATTACCAATCTATCTAGGGGTTGAATAACATCTAAAACTCCCTATAACTCAAAACTTAGCTAGAATCCATAGATTTCCACAAAACTCTCAAGACCATTTTTGGTTCTATGGATAAAACTAGTGAAAGGGAGCTCAAAATGAAGCTAGAAGGATGAGGTTTAATAATCTACCTTGGATGGATCCAACTAGGATTGAATTTCTTTGAGATTCTTATTTAAGAAGATAACAGAAGAGAAAGATGAGAGATAGGAAGAGTGTTTGGTGAGTCGTGTAAGAGGGTTGTTCACGGTGAAAACATAATATAAGGAGGGGTTTTCAGCTTCTAAAATAGCTATGGGTAAACTACACTTTTAGTCCCTTTACTTTTATTATCATGAATACTCATCTCCCTTCATTAATTCTCTTGGGCCCTAACTCAAGCCCACTAACAACAACTTAGTCCAACTAATATAATAAGTTCCAATGGCTCAACTTTGGAATCGTGTTAATCCGAACTACTAACCCGGGATTTAGGACTTTACACATATAGCCGTTGACCAACGATTACTTTTTTGAATTTGAAGGAACTCGTCACCTTGACGTGACGAGTTCCACTTAATTTTTTTAATTTATACTTTTATTTTATTTTTGTAATTAAAAAATTTTTAAATGGACTCGTCACGCCGAGGTGACGAGTCATTTTAATGATAATAAAATAATGGCCCACTTGGGGCTCACTTCACGGAGACAATTAAAAATAATATCTTCATGAACTCGTCTCCTCGAGGTGACGAGTTCAGTGTTCGTTGTAGAGAATGTCGTAATTTCTAAAATAATGTTTGCCTAATACCCTAAATAATTAACCCGCTTGGGGTATTGGGCCAAAAAAAACCTTATTCAGATAGGGGATGGGTTTGGTATGAACTTTGAACATATGCTCAAACATGATTGGAAGGTCCTAGCTATGTCATGCATTCAATAGAAAAGGAAAGCTGCAGAGACGACAAAAGGAGGGGCTTTCCTATGTTGCACTGAAAAAAAAGGACGACAGATAAGAATACCATATTATTCTCTTTGCCAGAACTTCCAGATTGGAGAAGCATTGGGGACAGACTTTGCGTTCATTTTGTTGGCGGAAATGATCCAATCCATTCGGGGGTATCAGGGAACCAAAAATGAAGTCTTTCAACTTGATCATAGATAGAATCAATGCTAATAGACAAGATAGAATCATTCTTTTTTTTCCTCTGATCGAAAGAAAAAAGGGTTCTCGGATGTCTAAACAGATGGGCGTAGGGCAGTCTCCATTGAAACAGAAATGCTGTGACCTTCATGAAAATATTGGGAAACATTTCCTGGTTGTGACGAATTGGATGGCTAACTTCGGTCCGAAGAGACTTCACAAAGACCAGATTGTATGGCCTGGAAAACATGATTTAGAGAGTGAGAACACAGGGACAGCACGTCAGATGGCCCCTGTTGTATGTGTTAAACCAGAGACCAGCCAAATTCATGGATATGTTAGGATGTTCATTAGTAGGTGTTTTGCTGATGGTTGTGCTATCAGTTGCAGGTATCCTCTACAGATTTATTGGTAAGGATTTTGTCGATGGTCAACCTCACGCCAGGGTCCAAGGCAAGTGTTGATGAAATTTTCAACTTCTATTCATCTTTGGTAGACAAATTTCTGACATTTTCTCTTGTAACTAATTTCTACAGCATGGAATTGGATACTTTGTAGTACAAATGTAAATGGCATGCATTTTGCATATTTGTATTCTTATTGGATTAGCTAGTTCTGATACTTACAGCTTTAGTTTTTCTGCAATGCTGAGATCCCTTTTGAGCTGTAATGGCCAATAGACCTTTACTTTTCAAAAGATGAGAGAGAAAACATACATTTTTTAAGTCAAAATGTTATAAGATATATATATAATTTAAAGTTTTCAAGTATGTATAATGCTGCCTCAGTTTAAGTACTACATTGCCTTTAAAAGGCCAGGCAAGTTTCGACTTTCGATCCCTTCTAAAGATAGGATATTGACAGTTTTATGGGAGGATCTGATATGGTTCCTAAACTCTAAGTGCTACATTGTGAATAGGAACCCTAAACTCTAATTGGTTCCAGCCTTCTCTCTGCAAAATTTATGTCTGAGGGAAGCCTCCAGCTGTTGGATTATTGAGGAAAACAATCCTGCAAAAGAATAGACAAATCATGGTCCACATTAATTGTATTGACGAGTTGTCTAAAATTGAAGATTGAAGAAGACATTATGAAAAAGAACTTATCATGGGCCAATACACATAAATGAGACTGAAAACAAAATACTACATAAAAGGGCCAATATTTGAGTACGGAGGTGGATCCTCTAAACTTCCATGTAAGGTCCTAGAAGCATATACCAGAAAAGAAATTGACCCAGAATTTCACATTCTATTTCTTGCCACTTCACTGAATCAGGCATAAGGAGTTGACCTTGGCCAGAAAAGTCACCTGTTCTGGTAAAGACAAACAGGATTTAACAACTTCCCTTTCTCAGTGTTTGGGCAACAGATTAAGGAAGTACTAGCAAGTTATCGGCCACATGTCCATTAATACATAGAATAAGGAAAATTTTGATGGTAAAGAAGCCTTTAAACTGCAAGAGTAAGAATAGTGAGTTCCGTAAAGATATGGGGAACAGTGAGAGAAAACCTGAGAGAGAGCTATCTATGCTGTAATGATCCTTTCACAAGTAATGTGCCTGGGATTTGCTGAAATACCTGTAAACGAAATGGAAATCATGTATAGAGTCGAGACCGCACACATTAAATTTAAGAAACAAGAAGGTGACCAAACCGAAACACGAAAAAGACAGGTTTGAGGGTGCATCTTCTACATTGCTGCAACTAGAAACTTCATCAAGAAGTTTTAGTCATTGTTAGGAGCATTGCAGTGTTCAGATGATGCAGTAATCTGTTAAAATGAAATTGTGCTGCATGTAAGCACAAAGAAAAATTTCATACACATCAAAGCACACTATGATAAATGGAAAGTAATATTTCATCAACCGTAAAAGAAGTGGTATTCAGTTTACAAGATGCTCCACCAGCTGGAAAAAGGACTCAACTGATTGAAGTATATGTATTGCACTAAACTGGCGTTGAATACCTAGGAAGAAGAGAAGGCGATAGAGAGAGGTCATAAAACAAAGAAAAAGAAAAATGTAACATGTGATACAAACATATACAAACCTACAGATTTAAATTAAATCTCCATACAAGCAACTGGACATGCATAACAGTTAAAATTTAACTTTGTGCACGAAAAAATTGAAAATTAATTTGTACCTTGGATTGATTCCAATATGACTGGCACAGGTGTTTCTTTTTAAATGTCTTTCAAAATTCTAATACTGAACCTCACAGCCATTAGGATATGCCATTTTAGTTGTATTTTTAAATTTTAAGCTGCAACAAGAACTAACTTAAAAACAGGGCAGAGAGTCGATGTAGATAATTCATCTAAGGCCAACATTAGGTAATACCTCCAATAACTACTGAATGAGAGAAATTTGAGAATTATTAAGACAAAACTAAAGAAAATAACCAAACCTCAAGCATGAAAGAGAGAATATTCTTTTCAGTCACATGAGGTGTAATTATCTTCTTCGCAGGAGGCACATAGGACCAAGCAAGTCCCCATCGACATGTTTTTCCTTGGACAAACTCAGTTGTTTTACTATAGTAACTCGACTCTCGAAGCTTTGACGTTAGGAATTTGAGATTCACTTTCCTCCACCATTGAAGTATACCACCTAAGCACAAAATTAGAACCTAAATATTTAGTATCATGTGAAAGGAACTAAGTTAAAAGAGATGGAGATCTGCGTTAGAATGATACCAGAAAGACTGCTTCACACAACACTATCTTCAATAATTCGTGTAATGAAAGCCTTCTCTCCACCATGGCAGACCATCTCCTCATACGTTCCACCACAGGAAGTTTTCGGATTCAATCCTGCTTCCTCAATGCTTTCAAAAAAGGGGGATTACACATGCAGAAGTCAAAGGTCTCGCCATCCCTTACGACATCAACAAGTATAGCAGGTCCATCAAACTATTATCTTCGCTTGATGATATATCAAGAGTAGAAGACGGCAAACCTTCTCCATCCTCAGAATCGCTAGATTTGCCATTATTTAACCCCTCAGGAGTAAGGGTGTTTCGAGAACATTTAACTTTTAATCTCAACTAATTCTGAAATATTGGGATTGTTTTTAACATTTCTCTGTCCAATCTAGAGCTACATCAGTCACATGCAATCAAGTTTACCAGTGTCTAAAATTAAAACCCATAATTCAAGTGAGACAACAGGATTATAAACATCTAATTAAGAAAAGTATGAAGAAAACATATAAATTTTACCTGATGCAACAAAATTCCAACCCAGAAGCGATGCACCAAGAAGAGGGTAGATACAGTTGGCTCCAGTTCCAATATCAAATCCTCTCACAACATCTCCTTTGCTGTTAGCTCTGGGAATAATGTCGGAAGAAAGGAGGTCTCTATCCAATGGATGTAATTGGATCGATTGGGCACCGTAGGGCAGAGCTGCCCATCGGGGATCCACCTGTTAAAACCCAAATCAATTTTAAGAAACAGTAGCAAAACAGTAGAAGCAGCATAGAGATCAGAGAAGCTTAGGAGAATACCAATGGAGGGCCATGGTCATGAGGAGGAGGACGGGGTGAGTTAGCGGGGTGGCTTGAAGTCGGTCCAGTCGATCCTGGGCGGCGTCGCGGTTGTAGATGACGAAGGGTTTAAAGGAAGGGTATAAAGAGGCTAAAAGAGCGAAATCGGGAGGAGTATTGTTTTTTGGGTGGATCGTGGGTTTCTTCCTTTCTTCTCCTCTTCTTGGATGGCATTTTGTTCAATCCAAACCAAAACAAATAAATTGATGGCCAATTAACACATACCTTTTCCTTTTACACCCGCAGAAATTATCAAGACTAATTCTAAAATATAATCTCTTCTTTCTGTTATCATTAATGAATTGACACCGGTGAAATCATCGAGTCAAGCAAATGAGGAAGTGACCGTTTGCAGCGATGGGTTAGCCAGGCTAAACCCAATGGAGACCAATAGCTCATGCCATTATCTCCACAACCCACGGGATAACTGGGTTTTTTGACCCCATTATTTCAAATAACACAGTAAAACTCAATTTCATTTATTTAAAAATTAATATATATTCTAATTATTTTTAATCATTTTATATTGACAGTTTAATCTTCTGCTGCTGTAATCATTGACACTTAAATTATTAATCTTTAAGAATAATAATAATTTTCTTAACTACTTAAGTAAATTAGTTCGTATATTTTTTTTCTTTTATTTATAAAAGAAAACAATCTCTAATAATTTTATATTTTGTCTATTACATATTTAATCACTAGGGGTGCATAGAATTTGTCCCGAAGGATCATTATATCTCGAAAGATTCCTATGTTCCGAAAGATCATTATGTCCTGAAGAATCATTCCTTAAGAACCATATATATATTCCAATAGATCAAATAAATGTACCGAAATATCACATGTATATTTAAAAGGATTACATATATATCCCGAAGACTTCGAATCATGACATGTCAACTATACCCCTAACTCTCATAACACATAACATGAACATTACTATTTATGTTATCACACATTCACATATTCTTATCACATAGACATATAATTTTAATTGTTCTTATCACATAACTCATGTAACACATATTCTTTCTCATATGTTTATGTAGGTCATATCATATTCTCATATATCAAATATATCTTGTCACATCACTTATATTTTGTGATCTATTCACATAACTTGTATTTCTTGGTTTTCGGTAGTGGGGTTTTGGTAGGGATTTTTTAGATCTGGGCTTCGCCGGAAAACATGGGTGAGAGTAAGATGACAGGGAAGGTGAAGTGGTTCAGTGACCAGAAGGGCTTTGGGTTCATAACCCCAGACGAAGGCTGAGACGATTTGTTCGTTCACCTCTTCTATCCTTTCCGAGGGTTTCCGCAGCCTTGCTGATGGCGAAGAGGTCGAGTTCGTCATCGACTCTAATGAAGGTCGCCCCAAGGCCGTTGATGTACTGGCCCCAACGGTGATCCTGTTCGCGGAACCTCTAGATCCGAACGTGGAGGAGTTCGTGGCGGCGGCGGATACGGTTGGAGGAAGAAGAGGTGGGTATGGTGGTGGTGGTTTGGTGTTTCAAGTGTGGGAGTCGGACATTTAGCAAGGGACTGTGACGGGCGGAGATGGTGGTGGTTTGGCTTGTTACAGCTGTGGAGGTTGTGGGCACTTCGCTAGAGACTGCACAAACAATGGTCGCTAAGGGGTTGAATGGCTTTCACATTTCATTCATGGTCGTCTTGGTTATTATAATTTGTTTGGCCTTTTGATTTGTTTCTTTTTGCATGTGCTTATGAACCAAGCATTACTCCTATATTTGTTTGGCTTCTGCTTCCGGTTTATATTAGGCTCCTGGTTGTAATGGGCACTTTTGCAGTGAGAAAGAACATTATGTTGAAAGTTAAAACCTCTAGTCCATATATGTCTGCTTCATGTGTGTTTTCTCATTGTAGTACAGCTCCTCACTTTACTGTATAATCTGTGTGATATGATTATTCGTGAGAGTAGGTTCCACGAAAGTAATTCCAATGACTCATATTTTTTCTAAAATTTTAATTCTCAATTCTAAAATCTCAAACTCTAAAATCCCTATCTAACCCTAAATTCTAAATCATAACCTTAGAACTAGATCTTAACTTGTAAATCCTAAACTCTTATCTTAAAAACTTGAATCTTAACTTCATAAACCCTAATCCTAAAAAGAAAAAAAGTTTATAAACTACCCTATATGGGTTATAAACTTGGGGTAATTACACGTCATACATAACTATTAGTTTTTATTCATTTTAGTACTTAACTTTCAATTTTTCAAAATCATACCTAAAATTTTATTTTTGTTCATTTTGATACTGTTGTAAAAAACTTATTTATTTTTGGTACCTCATTCAAATTTAACGTAAATTTTAAAAAGATTGTAAGTTTAGGTACTAAAAGGATCAAAATTGATAGTTTAAGTACTAACGTATTAGGTTTTTAAGGACCGGATACTAAAATGAAAAGAAACTAAAAGTTAGGAATGATTTTGAAAAAATGAAGTTTAGGTACTAAAATAGAATAAAACCAATAGTTTAAGTACTAAATACTTTATCCTAATTTGAATTAAATATAAGTCATTTATTATTTATTAATTTAATAGTTATAAAATTAAAACTTATTAATTTACTAGGATAAGTAAATCATATATATATATTATATATATTATATTATATATATATATATATATATATATACACAAAAGTAAAAAAAATTTTTAACTATTTCTTTTTGCTTTTATGTCTTTAATTATTATTATAGTTATATATTTTTTGGGCTAATGAAATATGATATTTCACATAAAATTAGATATTCATTTTGACTAAAAAAATTTAGAATTTAAAAGAAAAAAAGAAGTATAGTTTACATATTATTTGACCATATATAGTTCATGTATTTAAAGTGGTTATATATAATAGTTTAAATATTATTTTGATTAAAAATAATTTAAGGACTTAAAGTAAAAAACCTATAGTTTAAGGATTTTTTATAGTTTAAGATAGGGTAGGGTGCTTATCGAACGAGTCGATCGTAAGTTGGGTATTGTTTGACTTATGCTCGTTAAAAAAATTTATTGTTCGACTCGTGCTTCTTAATAAAATGTTGTTCGGATAGTTGCTAGTTAAACTCACCGAATCTTTAACTTATTTTTTAACTATAGGTAAATAATACGATATAGAGTTTAATATAAACATAAATGAAAATTTAACCCAAAATTTATCAAAAAGAATGTATGAAGCAATTTCAAAAAACTCCAATACAAAACAATACATTAAAATCATAATATGATTTGATTTGGGTGTACTAAAATATTAATTAATAGTTTAATATTTGTTGTTATTAGAAATTAATAGATTAGTAATTTATTTTTTTTATATTATCTATTATTGAATTAGTAACTTTTTGAATGAAATAATTTTTTTAAGATAACTACTCAAAAATTGTATAAAAAAATTAACGAGTTTCTTGCTAACTTATCGAGTCGAGTTGGACTTTGTTCAACTTGACACGTTAAAATCTTGAGCCAAGCTTGAGTTTGAATCGAGTCAACCCGAGTCGAGTTTTTACTGAATTTTGATCGAATCGAGTTCGAGCTGCTCAACCCATTAAATACCCCTAATTAGGGATAAATATTCGGTCGAGTCGAGTAAAAAATTGAATTATTTGAGTTTACCATTCTATTTTATTACTTAAATTTTATTTAAATTTCTTTTCGAGTGTTCGTTTCTATTTAATTTTACGTTTATAATATTATTTAAGTTTAATTTAAAATATTTTCTATAATTATATATGATATAAATATATATTTCTTCATATTTTTTATAGAGAAAATCGCCTCAGTGACCAAAAAAAAGTTATAATATACGATTTTAACCAACTTTTTTGGATTTGCCAAATGACAAAATCGCAACGCGAAATAAAAATCGCAACGCGATCCCCAGAATCACAAATCGTTTCCAAAATCGCAACGCGATCTTGAAAATCGCAATGCGATAGTACAAATTCGCATTGCGATTTTCCAAAATCGCAACGCGAATATGAAAATCGCAACGCGAACACATAAATCGCAACGCGTATCCGTAAATCGCAACGTGTATCCTATCGCAACGCGTATCCGTAAATCGCATGCGTATCCGTATATCGCAACGCGTATCCTAAATCGCAACGATAATCCGTAAATCGCAACGAGAATCCGTAAATCGCAACGATAATCCGTAAATCGCAACGAGAATCTGTAATCGCAACGATAATCCGTAATCGCAACGAGAATCTGTAAATCACAACACTGAAATTTTGGGTATATAACACTGAAATCATAAACTAAATCCCTAAATCGCAACTCATTCCATCTCCATCTATCACTCTCTCCGGCGACCGTTCCTATATCCAACGACATCCTTCCCAATCCGGCAACAGGTTTTAGTTTCGCAGCTCGTCTGTTTAGTAAATTATTTACAACCATGAAATCATCTAATGTTGATCATGGGTAGATTTGTGTTTTGGAGGTCATGGGATAATGTTCATGGTGTTTTACAATATATGCCTTTACCCATGAATCTTCAACTAAAATTGTCTTTACAAAAGTTAACTTATGAAACTATAATGCTACTGTTTCAAATAAATTGAATTTAGAGCCCCTAAGTGGATTTAGGCTATCTTATCAGAGAAATGGTAAAGTTTATTTGTTAACCGACAATGAAGATGTTGAACGATTCATTGCTTACATTAGTGTTTCACAAGATGATGTTACATTGTATGTTGTTGAACCTAGAAGTAGTATTGTTGGGTCAGTAGCGGGTAGTAATCAACTAAGTTTTTCTCAAAACCCACAACCTTTCTCTAATCCAAATCTCAATCAACTTTCAGCACCAAATTCCGGTTTTCGTATTGACCAGTTAGACGATGATGAGCCAACAGAAAAAATTGTGAGTACTAGTCAGTATTCGAAATTTGGTCTTGGTCAATATCCGGACTTTGATATTGGTCAATACAGGATTTTGATGATGTTTCAGAAGAAGAAACAGACCCTGCGTGTAATGATTTTGATATTGGTCAATACCCGAATTTTGATGATGAAACAGCCGTTGCCGAAGAATGTATTGTTGATGATAATGAGGAGGAAGTTACGACTGTGAATGAACATGTTGAACATCCATTCTGTAATTCATATAATCCTGAAGAAGAAAAAGAAGAAGAAAAATCCCCGAAGAAAAGAAAATGCCACGGGCGTATAACTGGAATATGCCAGAATTACTTCAGATACCGGAAGAAGAGTTGGTAAAGAAAGCAGTTGATTGTTACACAAAAGTTATTCGTATCAAGAAAGA